GGAATAGAGCCTCCTTCTTGAGGGGATGGACTGTAAACAAGTATATCGCCTCCACCTTCCTGGGGATTACACACAGGAATTTTCATAGTTTGGCTTAGTTTTTTTTCGTTTGCAATTAAGCTTTTTTCTTTTGCAAGCGTAGAGTAATGGTGGTGGTGGCTCCGTCCAGTTCTTCTTTTAGGGGTAACAGATCCCCTCGTTCGTCCTCCAAGGTGATCTCAATGGTTTGAAAAGCTCCAACACCCAAAGGACTGTATTTAACGTGTTTCGGCTCATGAGGAAACCCTTTTAAGCGTGTTGAGCCCTTCCCACTGGCTGGTGGTTGAAAGTTCATCTGAAGCGGAACCATGTTTAGTAAAGGTTTGTTTATGTTCCCCACGAGGATGGGATCCACCAAGTTACAATGGACATAGACTCGTGTGATTTCAGAGGGTCGAATAAGGCAATGAATCGGTTGGAGGCTTTGAATACGACGTTGTACCACATGATGATGAGACCAATCGTGAAAACCCTGGGGATAGTTCATTCCATTATTTGAATCTTTTGAGTCTACTTCAAAGACATGCCCCACGGACCCTTTATGAGAAGGACTCTTTGGCAAAAAGTCTAGTTTGAAGAGTTGAATTAAGTCGTTGGAGATGTAAAGAGTCATATGGGAGACGTTGGCCTGGTGGGCATAAAATCCAATATGCRCTTCCACTTTTGACGTTACAGAATTCCACTGAAAACGTTGACGGAAAAAATTGGGAACGTCAGGTTCAAGCTCAGCATCCAAGATGAGGGGATGAGAGACTGTGAGACTGAGAAGCTGTTTCAGGGTAAACCCCAACTTTTCTATAAATCCAGATTTATAAAAATAAAGATCGTGGTTGGCTCGAGTAAGTCTCAACATTTTTGGGTTGTGGGGTTGCCACGACAAGAGGATTCCTTGTCGAGATAACACACGTTCAATATCTTCAGGCATGTAACTGCTGACGTCATCAAAGACATAGAGGTTGGTCATTCGGTTGGTTTGAAACGTTCTTTGAGAACTAGACCAACCATGAAATGTTGAATAGTATGTCCCATGAACTTGTGTAGCCATTGGTTTGTTTAGAGCGGTGCAAATGTCTTGCACATTATTCCACTCTACAGTAGGGTCCAAGATCCCGTTGGTCTCCGATATTCCGTTTCCGGTGCTGATCGCTTTAATCGAGAGGTCTTTAAAGACGACAGTAGTTGCTCGGGGCTTTAGGCTTGGAAATGCAATGTTAATCATACCTAATTCCCATTCTTCTTTTTCATACGGACCATAGAAGGAAGTCRAGCCGTAAACTTGGAAGGATGTTTGTCTGCGTAATAATCTTTGGACTGATTGCTGAGTAACGTAAATTCCATGATGGATTTGTTGTTGGAAGACAACGGAAAAAATTTCAGAGCAATCAAARTAGATTGACAAGAGTCAATAAAGGTAGGGCATCTTCCTTCAGTACTGGCAATTTTAAATTCAATGGTTTCCACATGAGACTTGGCAATATAGCGTTTTAGAGGGTTATTGGGTTCTCTATAGCGCAGAACGTCATGACCGTCATTGGGCAGAACAATGTCAATCAATGGAAATTTATCATGTCCAACCACTTCGTACACGATGAGATCGGTGTAGACCAACAAGGGTTTGTGACGCTCTACCACTTCAGGCATTAAAATAGACTGAACGTAAACACCCCATTCGTCTGTCAATCTCCATGGTTTTGGTAAAAAGATTTTAAACGTATGGGCACTGTTGTCGGGGGTCAGGGCAGTGGGAGTACTGTCAAACCACATGACAAAAGGCTCCGTGATACTATCCATGATCAGGACAAGTCGATGACTCGTTTGGCATTAATCCACTCGTTGTATTGTTCAGGCCACCCCTTGTATTTGACCAACAC